AAAAAATAATCGAATAATAAAAATACAAAGGGAAGGTGCAATACAAGGGATAACGCGAAGATATAAAAAAAGATATCAGTTACAAGACATCTAGAGCATATGTCATCCTCAAGACTCTCCCTTCCCCTCCTAAATTCAGCTGCCCACTTTTGCACTGTTGATAAAGCTGGAGTGACATCCTCTGAAGTAGCAACAATCTCAGTATGGATGTTCTTTTGCTGCAGGTACTTCATAACACTACAGTGCCAAATTGTGTCCACTTTTAAGAGAAGTCGCTACTAGTTACTTCTGAAGTCTTCATCGAACAGTCAGATGTCAGTTTACATGGAAAGAAACAATACAGTCCTTAATAAGAAGTGTTGAATTTAATGCATGCAAGATTTCACAAGTCTAGCATCACTCCTTCATAGCTTATAAATGTTTCAGCCCACCCTTGAGTATATATATATATATATATATATATATATATATATATATATATATATATATATATATAAAAAAATTTGGAAAAAACAAACAAAAAATCCTTAAATGCAATTATGTTGTTTAAAATGAATGAAATGTCGACGTCTGACGTTTCGGTTTAATAAACCTTTTTCAAGACAATATTCAAAAAAAATTTTAAAAATTTTAGATCCTAATAGAATTCTTTTCATTTTCTTTTTCATTTCAAAATAATCACAAAAAAAAAAAAAAAAATATTTTTAGGAATACGTTTTGAAAGCGTCGCCCATGTGACGACAACGTGACCATGTTAAACGGAAAGCTGATCATTTTAAAAATTTTCAGTTATCTGTTTTGGATAAGACTTGTTTTTTATGTCCATCGTCTTTGTTAAATTGAACTGAATTGTATTTTAATGAATATTGTCTTGAAAAAGGTTTATTAAACCGAAACGTCAGACGTCGACATTTCATTCATTTTAAACAACATAATTGCATTTAAGGATTTTTGTTTGTTTTTTCCAAATTTTTCTTCATTCTGTCGGATTTATATCCATTTACATTTGCTTACATATATATATATATATATATATATGAAGAAATCTAGTCTTAAGGTGTGCTATATTTATGGGATAAAGTGCTCAATATCAGAGATAGAGCGTGTGTAAATATAAAAATGAACATAGAAGTCAACATTTAGATGCGACAGTCTGTTTCATGCTATATGCAATCGTCAGGCGTGATGATTGCATATAGCATGAAACAGACTGTCGCCTCTGAGTGTTGACTTCTATGTTCACTTTATATATATATATATATATATATATATATATATATATATATATGAATGGATTTTACAAACACTGAACAGCACGGAATGAGAAGTCGAAGAGCCAAGTTCATGTTCCAGTTAGGTTCGATATATTCTCTTACGTGCAAAATACCCTTGATGAAGGTATGAATCCATATTTTCTCCCCAAATATAGGTAAAATATTACGACTTGTAAATGAAAAAAACATTATCTATAAAATATTGCTAATACAATATTCACTCGCAAAAAATAATAATTATTCTTACAATCTAAAAATATGCTTCAGTTTTAATAACCTACAATAGGTAGACAAGCCATAGAAAAACAAATCAATTAATTTACCAACATTGTGCCGAAATGTCATGTTACTAATGCAATATTTGTAAACATCTTTAAGCAAAGGTAAAAAAAGTTATACGAAAGGGTGACACACACACACACACACACACACACACACACACACACACACACACATACACATATATATATATATATATATATATATACACTACCTACCAAAAGTTTAGGACCACATTCAATTTTTCCTCTAAACTTAAAAATGAATCAAGTTTAATCCTATTTGCATTGTTCGCATAATCATGGCAACAAAGATGAGGACGATAGTCCGAACAATGTAAATAGGCTACATAATACCTCATCTCAGGAATATAGACAGATAATGAAGTTTCATGTTTTTAAAGCCACAAAACATTCCCTAATTGTAGCACAACTGCCACCATGCATAACACTTGACACAAAGCAATTTTCACTCATTCGTTCGGGAGGAGTTCGCCTTACAAACATCTTCGTTTATTCCCCAAAAGCTCAAATTTTGACTCATTAGTTCATATTACCTTTTTCCAATCTTCTAAAGACCAATCCTTGTGCTGTTGTACATAGTTTAGTCTTTGTCAACTTATTTTCCTTTTTTTTAATAGAGGTTTCTTAACTGATACACATCGTTTAATCCCAGCAGAAATAAATCTTCTCTTAACAGCCATAATAGATATTGGATATTGTCATGTAGAATTAAATTCAGCGAAAGTTAGGGATTAGTTGGGGAGTTTTTTTTTCTTTTGTTCTTTTTGCTTGACACGATCAACATATGTTATTCTGGGCCTCTCCAGATCTTTTTTCTGTCAGCATTTGCGCCGGTTTCTGTATACACAATAGATGAATTTATTTATCCAAATATGCAAGATTATACTTTTTTATAAACTCAGAGAAACATTTCATAGTGGTCCAAAAATTTTGATCGGTAGTGTATATATCAAGAACTTCCACATAAAACAAAACAGGAAAACGATACCTAAGGTTTAAAATGAATTTTTAAAAATTAAAAATCTCCTTTGAAACTTATATTTTAGCTTTAATTTCAAGTTAATAGATGAAATTTAATATTTCCAATAATCGAAACACTTTGCTCTATTTCAGAAACTAATTTAACACTAAATGGAAGGAGTTTTTTTTCTAAAATAGCCGATTAGCGTCCTTTTTAGTTGTCTTTCATCGCAATGTAATTCTCATTATTAAAAAAAATTTCGAAAAATAAAATATACTTTTCTGAAATTTTATTAGCTAATTTAAAGTATAATTAATCTGTTTTGAAACAAAAATTAAAATATCGCAGTTTTTAACACGACAGCAGTTGTGTTTTAACCGATCATAGCTATGTAGACGTGTTTGACAAGGTGGTGACAAGTCTGATGTTCTTCGACGGAGGCTTTATCTGTAAAACGTAATTGAAGAAAATGACGCGAGTAACCTTTTCATATAATTTTTAAGTACTCAGTAATCTTAACAAATTAGCATAATTTAATATTATATTGAGTTTTATAAATACTGACTTTAAATTTGCTATAGTCATCACTCTTATTTTCTGATAATGACGGCACGTTTATACACTAATAAAAACAATTACAAATTATTTTAAAATATTGGTGTTTAATGATTTGTATTAAGCTTTTTCATTTATGATTAGTAAATATATATATCGTTTTCACTTAATAATAAAATCATCAAAATCGATGAAACTGATAAAAATTTTAAAATATTTAAAACTTAAATTTTTCTAAATAAATTTAAAATTAAAACAATTCTTGCAAAAATTCATTATTCATCGAAAAATGTTTTTTCTAAAGACAATAGTGCCCCTAATAGATCTTACTTATAAAAGAAATTAAAAGTTTTTCTAATTAAATAATGGCATAGTTTTATTGCATCTTTTATTTACGATTCAGGGTAGATTTTCGGTAAATGGTCTTTCTCTTTGACAAAATCAAATTGATGATTTAAATTCTGAAGGAGTTCTGTTTTTAACTAATACAAATACAAAGATCCTGAAAGCTAAATTTATCGAAATTTCATAAAATTAAGTAAGCGGAGTAACAAACGTGAAAAATAAAAACTTTTACTAAGATTTTCTGAAAAATAATATTTAAAAAACAATCTCTTTCATTTGTGAATAAGTCCTGAAAATTTTATTAAAATTCGACAATTATAAGATTTTTTGCAAGAATTTCCAAAACAATGTTGTTTTTTTTTACTGCAAAAAAGACACTACATTTTCCATACTAAATTTTTGACTCACCGCTAACACAAGAAAAACAAGATTTTCACTAAAATTTCTCTAAAGTGCTAGAAACGATTAAAAAGAAATAAAATAATAAAAAATTTCTTTCCTCTTAATAACAACATAAACATTTTGACGATGAAACTTTGTGACCTTTTTACTCATGGCATGTTCATTTTTAGAAAATTTTTTGAGGTACCGAATACGTAAATATATATATATATATATATATATATACAGAGAGAGAGAGAGAGAGAGAGAGAGAGAGAGAGAGAGAGAGAGAGAGAGAGAGAGAGAGAGAGAGAGAGAGAGTTCTGCTCATATACTAATTTCATATTATTATAATTTAATGTTCAGATGATGAAGAGACTTGAAGAAACAGAAATGTGGTCCTATAAAAGGATATCATGGATCGAACATGTGAGCAACGCCGAAGTTTTAGAGAAAATGAAAAAAAGGTCACTTATATTAACATTAAAAAGAGACAGTTTAAATTTCTAGGGCACATATGAGGAAAGTGGGCTTCGAAAAACTGTTATTCACGGGACAGATTGAAGTCAAGAGGGAGAGAGGAAAACAGCGCGTAGCAACTAGAAAGCTTAGGTAAATGGACAGCGTTTAGGAGAGACGACTAAAGGAAAAAAAAATTATTAAGAGCTATTATGGACAAATTATGGAGAGCCATTATCGCTACGGCCTGAAGGGACACTGCACATAGGAGTCTAACTAACTACATTTGTGAAGTGATTTGTTCAATGTCGCGACACGGTATGTGCCTATAAAATGAAATAAGAACATATACTGTCTTTGCAAAGAACATGCGTACGACGTAAACACGCGTAGTTGAATTTGTGCTGACGTCCACTTACTGACAACAACCACACAACCTGACGCATCAACCTCCGTCACCATGTCATTGACATGAACACGTGGTTAATATTTTCTTTCTTGCCCTCCGAAATTAACGATTTGTGCTTGTATTTGTTTTTCAAATGCGCTAAACGACAATATCGGTTTTCAATTTCTATTAATTACTCACAACTGGTTATTTCAAAATTAACTGAAAAAATACATTGCTTATATAACTGATTATTATTTATGTCTCAAACTAACAGACATCATCACAAAAGGAGAAAATAATAATTTTATGCAGTTACTAAGCATCTCTACAAAATGAAATATGATGAAATTATTGAAGATGTTGGCGGTTGTGGATTATACCAGAAGTTTATTCTGACTTTATTATACACTTTACCCGTGTTTGATGGCCTGCAGATTGGTAGTTTAGTGTTTATTGCACCAGAAATACACCATAGGTAAGTAATAATTTATACGTATACCTTCGTAATAACACTGAATTTTGTTGGTTTTCAAATAACACTAGATTTACTAACTGTGACTTACTATGTAAAGATTACTTGCAGAAGAAAATATTATCAAAGTATTTCTTTTTATATTTATATTATATAAAGCAAAAGAAAATTGATCTTATTGCATTTTAAAATCTACATATCGATGAGAAATGATTATATCTGGCAGTTACTGAAGTTACGTTGATCGTATCTATTTTTCTTTGTGCAGTTTCCCTTCACAACGTGGGCGATCATAGCTCTCCACAATTTTCTCTCCTTTGTAGCTCTTATTAAATTTGACCTTTTGGCTACCACTCCTAATGCCTGATCTGCCAGCCATTTACACAAGCTCGTTAGATATGTCATCCGCTGCTTTCCTCTGTTCCTGTTGCCTTCAATGTATCCTGTGAATGTCAAATTTTACAAGTACTTTTTCCTCATCATGTGCCTTAGTAATTTGAACTTTCTCTTTCTTTTGTCCCTCTTGCCTTCAATCTGATGACGACTATCAAGCTGGCCTTGCGGTCAATGATATCATATTAAAATATTATTATATTGGTTAAAAAGCAGGCATTTACAGCCAGTTATAAAATCATATAAAAGTATTTTTATTTTAATATAAAACTCTACCTCCTCGAAAAGTTTATTAATGATGTTAATTTAAAGAATGTTAAACCATTATCAGATAATAAGCTGAGCTGCGTATGATACGACGTTGCATGTGTAGGGCATCATTGTTGCATGTCTAGGGCATCATTGTTGCCAGTTGAATTATAAAAAAATGATTTTCTATAAGTTTAAACTACTCTATACTTACGACGACTGCGATTTTTAGTTCATTGAGCAACAAATATTCAGAGTTATCTTCCTTTGTAGATTTGCGCCAACCTAATAATTTGTTGATTTTCATTTACTACTATTTTCTAACTTCCAACCTCATAGACGGCTGCTACAGAATCACAAAGAACTGTGCGAAATAGCAGGAACCACATTTTGAGGACTTTCAACATCAGCAACAACTAAAATGGATAGCAAATATAACTAGGTGGTAAAATAATGAGATAACATAAATATTGACGTTTCACACTACATAAAAAAAATGAAAGAAATTAAGTCCCCGTCAATGCTGGAAAAAGAATTGTTACTGGACCCTATTTTCGTAAAATTATTTTAATAGAAGGATTTTATAAATTTTAACCGAAAGTAACACTGTAGGGTGAATGAAAGCCGAATGTTTAAGAACATTGTGGAGAACCATGATCGCTCACGACCTGAAAGGACACGGAAGAAGACGAAGAAAATGTGTTTCAGCAACTATTTTCTTGTTTGTAACTTTATTCTTCTTGATTATTACAGTTTTAATTTTCTCAGATATCTTTTATTGATGTGATAGAAAATTGTGAAAGCCATGATCACCGGAAAAGACGAGGCAAACAGACGAAGAAGAGACTCTTGCCAATGTTTTCAGACTCTTTTTTGAATGTTCAACTTTTCACAGTTGCCATCGTTGTATTCACGTCACTCAATAAACTTACAATATCTAAATTTAAAAATTCCATATCAATAACTATACCTTTGTATACAATTATTTACAATATGATAAAACTCAGCGAACTGCCTAATAAAATCACACACCAACAAATAAAATAATAAATTATTTTAAGTTTTCTAATGAAATAGATGACTTGTCTTGCGAGGCAGATTATTTCCCGCAGAAGGTTGCCATTTTTTCCTGCGGTAGACCAGTTGCCATACCCGGTCTGCCATGCTATTTAACCATAGTTGGGGGAGAAAAAGAAAATTTATACCATTCCCAAGGGTTAAATGTAATGGATTCAACGGCAATTCGAACTCGGATCTGCGATTCCTTAATCCGAGCCGCTATCCATTACACCGCCGTGCCGGATTTCTAATATAAAATATAATTTTTTTTCAATATAAAATATTATAAAGATAGATCCATGAAGAGAGCTCCATGTATTAAAATACAGAGCAATATGATAGACATCAAAAGAAAAGCTCCGGTTTTATAACTCCGGTATTATAAGGCAGTTGTCTGTCTTAAAGAAATTATTACTAAACTCTTTAATGATGTATTGCGCATTTCCTTTACTATATATCTATATCTATATCTATATCTATATCTATCTATCTATCTATCTATCTATCTATATATATATATATATATATATATATATATATATGGTGTATCAAAAATACTTCTACAAACCTTGGAGGCGTGTTCGTAACAATAATAATAAAAAAAAGACAAAAGTTTCTAATATGTCCGCAAATTCCTTGTTTTTGAGTTATTAAGTTTAAAGTTTACGGTAGACGCTGATAAATGTACAATCCAAGATACAATCCCAAAATAATTTTACAAAATACAGCAGACATTAAAAATGCAGAGACGCTTCATCAATGTGTCATGGGGACCTGCGAGATCATTCAGCACCGTGTGAGAATATTTGAGAGGGTCCGCCAGTTAATGATCCGACGGTATAGAAGAAAGCGGGGGAGATTTTGAATATTTGTTATGAGTTACTGTTATGTCCTTGTTTTATTGTGAGGTACCCGCCCCAAAGTTTATAAAAGTACTTTTGATACTCTCTCTCTCTCTCTATATATATATATATATGATTAAAAGGGATGATATATTTATATATTTATATTTTAAGGTATGTTATATTTATGGATAAAAGTGGTCGATGTCTGGGATAGAGCAGGCTTCAATGTGTTCAAGTATGTGTTCAAGTATATATGCTCTCTCTCTCTCTCTATATATATATATAAATATCTTTTTCTCCCTCTCTCTCTCTCTCTCTCTCTATATATATATATATATATATATATATATATATATATATAGAGAGAGAGAGAGAGAAAGAAAGAGAGAGAGATATATATATATATATATATATATATATATATATATATATATATATATATATAGAGAGAGAGAGAGAGAGAAACAGGCAGGAAAAATATTTATCAGGTTCTGCAATCAAAGGATTGCCGATTCTCGCTCGGAGGTCATTAAAATCCGCTGGATTTGAAATTTGGATTTGAAAAACAAACAAAAACAAACAAAAACAAAAAACGAAAAAAAATGTATTCACTAATCAGCACAGAACGAAGAAACTTGCATAAGTAGCGAACAATTTTGCAATTTCCCAAAAAACTACTGTGTTTCCACATGTTAACTAAATAAAAAACACAAAAATATACAAATAATATCATTTTTTAAATAAGAAGTAAACATTAATATTTACTTTCTCTCTTCCTCTTCTCCATATATATATATATATATATATATATATATATATATATATATATATATAATTATTTTAATCTAAAAATCAAATTGGTTCAAAATATATTTTAAGGTAAAGATTTGATAAAACTATGAAAATAAAAATAATTATGATTCAAAGAATTTTGACAGCTTGTCGAACAAGATTCAATAAATATTTCCAAGTAATCAGATTTAATTTTTTTTTAATTTTTTTGAAATTAATGAGTACCGTGAAACATAATTTACAATTTTATTTTTCACTTTAGGAAATTGCTAGAGATGTCTTACGTGAATAGTATGACAGTCATCGGCGTGGAAACTCTAATCTGTAAACTATCTATTGCATTCACTTCTACGAAAATGCCCTTGGACAAAAACATGCATCCATCCCATCATGCCTCAGCTATAGGTTAAATAAACGGATAGAGTAGTCTTTCTAACTTTTGATAGTAACCAGTTTAAGAGAAGAAAAACTCTCAATCCGTGGAGAAGGCAACGAAGCCCCCACCACAATCTTCGCAATTCACAGGTAATAAAGAAAAGGAATCTGTATAGAGCCATAATCGTCTACGTCCTGTAAAAATATGGTGTCAAAAAGAAAAAAAAAATCTAACCGAATTTCATATGAGCGTGTAAGGCAAAATTATTCATTTGATCAAAAATATTTTTTGCCAAATTATTTGAAAAATTAGAATGAATGTTTTGAAGCTTAATACAGATATAGAACAAATATATACAATTTTGATGAAAGTACATTGATGGATAGATATGAAAATAGTGTCTAGGATATATAATAGCGGTTGTAATATCACTATTGTTTGTTAGCGATGTAAGTAGAGTGATGATATTAAAACAGTTATTGGTCTACTAATAGGAAAGTTGGTTCAATTGTTCACGTGCCACACAACTTGTTTCATCAGAATCCATCTCGCACGTTTATAAATCTATCATTTATCGGTGAATTGAATATTGCTGCCATATCGGGTCGGCTGCTTTTACTATATATCTCGGGATTCTAGTTAAAATTCAAAGAAGGGTCTGTCATATAATCGATTCTGACTTGAGGTGACCACATCAGTCACTTTCTCGACCGCCGTGACGTGGCTTTCCTCTGTCTTTTCTACAAATATTCTTATGGCAATTGTTCTGATGAGATTTCATCCTTGGTTCCTCGACTGTATGAATTTAAGCGTAGGTCTCACTGTTTTACTGTTCAACTAACTAGATATAACCATATTTTCTATTCTAATAGTTTCTTTTCTTACACACCCCGCTTGTTGATCTGCCTTCCGGTTTCTTGCTTCCTGTCAACTACAATCTTCAAAAAAATTCAATATAATGACAATCACCATCTTCTGTTTCTCGAATCCTGTTCTTTTATTGTCTTCTCTTTCACTCACACTAATCCTTTGCGTCTTAGTGGCATTATCGCCTTGCTTGGGATGAAGCGATTAAAATAATGTCGACAATGATGTATTTCGGTATATCTGATAATCTATTTATTTAAAATTACAATCTCGAAATTAATTGTTTCTTCAAGAAAAAAAAATTATTTTTAAACATTCGCTTTGTCGAGCATCAAACAAAACGTTAATGATTCATTATCGTAAAAACAACAACAAAAAAAAACTTCATTGTCGTTACAGATGTGCTATTCCTGGTTTACCAAACGACACCTACGAAGTCCAAGATACGAACCACGCTGATCTGATCAAAGTCTATATTCCACAGCACATGGAAGATGGCGAGAGTGAATATAGCAATTGTTATTTCTACAGCAATGAAACATTAGACGATAACGGAACGATGCATGCATGTAATTCTTGGGTTTATGACAAATCACAGTATCAGACATCTGTTACCAGTGATGTGAGTATTATTTCATTGCACTTTTTCCTGTATTTTATGTATTGCCATTAATATTTCTTAACGAAAGACAATTATGTTGACTTTCCACACAACTTTTAATAGTTTATTTTCTAGACACTTGTCACCTCTAGAACTCTTTTCCGGTTTCTTGGATCCTCGCCAGCTACAATCTTAATCGCCATCTCCTGTCTTCCTGAATCCTGTTCTTTTATTGTCTTTTTTTCTCACTAAGGTCTTCCCATTCTACTCCACTCCCACTCTTATAGTGGCTTTATCTCCTTGCTTGAGATGAAATAATTAAAAAAAAGCTTTAAAAATGGTTAGGAATGAAGCCTCCATCAGTATCGGAAAGTGAGACAATAGTTAGTGGACTTAAGAAGCCTATTTTTCTGAAAAATTACTTTTATAGAAAGATTTTATAAATTTTAACCGACAGTGGCACTAGCTGTTCGGTCAAGGAACACCGAAGGTTTCTATACAAGGAAACGGCTAATACTACTAATATTCCCATTTCAGAAAAAATTGATACTAACATTTATGAATATTACCGAAAACTAATTGATGGTTCTTCTTCGATTAAGACTACAGGATAACGCAAAAATTCCATATTTTAATTAAACGCTTTTCAACAGGATACATTTTTAGATTTGATTTTAATGTGTTCACCAAGTGGATGGCGATCAGATTGATATGGGGGACATGATATCTCTCTTTCACCGTCTCTCTTGCTGAAGGATCATGACAGCAGTCTTAAAAACAGAAGTGGGCACTATTCGACCAATGAGAAAACAATAGTCGAAATTATCGGTGACTCAGAACTTTTATTTGATGGCGATATGTTTCGAATTCATCCATTATTTTTGCTATAAGTTTTCAGTTAAATAACTATACAAAAACTTTAATAATGAATAACAATTACAGCTTGTACATGGTGATTGCCACATCTCACTCAGATGAGAGTCGCCTATTCACCCGTCGCATCACTTGTGAAGATGACTTTTGAAACCAGCATTTAATTTTATGGGTTTCATGCATATATGGCATAAACTTTGTATTCTTGATTGGATTAAATGAATCTACATCCCCTGCAACTCTGTGTACCATCATGAACCACATCAGTCCAGATGATGATCTGCAAACCTTGTTGCAAGCAACATATGTATATGTATATGTAGGACAATAAGACAGATTGGTACAGTTGTTTTTGGTTGATATGATGAGTTTTCAGATGGTTTACATAACTTTCCCTGGACAACAACTTGCGCTCGCATACACCGCATTTTCAAGACTGTATGTCAATTGGCAAATCAGAGTAGGTGCCTTTACGGAGAGAATGCTTGATCTGAGCATGCCTGAGCATTCACCCTTTCTTAATAAATGTCGCACGCTGTACTATTTAAAGTCAGTTCTTCTCAATGCTGTAAATTCATACGCAATACCTTCATATTATCCTTCAGATTATCTTTAAACCTCTTAGATTTGTGTTATGGATACTTTCCTGTCTTCAATTCCCCGTAGAAAAGTTGTTTGGGAATCCTGTTATGTCCCATTCTCAAAACGTGCCCGGCCCATCGCATCTGGTTGAGAATTATCATTGCTTCAATGTTGTTGCATTTTGGGAGGACAACAGTATCTGGAATCAAAGAATGCCATTTGATGTTAAGCTTATACATACATACATACACATCTTTGTGGATAGTTTATTTTACTTAGGAGAGAACAAAATAAAATGAATGCTAATAAAGAAGCTTGTATAACGGTAATATTCTAAACTCATCAGCATGATTCTAAAATCAATTAGGTTGACATATATCGTTTTTGCATGTTTTGTCCAACAGTGAAATGAGCAAACAAATCTCTATAAAAATAACAATATAGACAATATTCTCACACAAAGGCATTTTGCTAAGGTTTTTATGCAAAACGAATGTATGTTGTGTTAGGCATTTTTCAAATTTTTTTCTTAATTTCACTTACTCCAGTTTAGCATAATATAGACGTATTGGAAGGATCTAATTATCTTTAAAATGGGGTGCAGAATTAATTTCAACCCGGAACTAATTTCAACTTGCAGCTAATAAATCTGTGAAGTTTTCAAACGAAATTAAAATTTCATTTATTGATTTTCTTAAATTTTGATCAATAACTGTTTCTTTTGCAATCTACTGTTTTTGCTACAAAGAACATTGCATTTTTATTGGATTAGATTTAAATAAATAAAAGTAAATAAAATGTAACACTTTATTCATTTGCAACAAAAAAGGAAAGTTGCAGAAAAATGGATTCTGAATTATCTATTAAGAATTTTTAATGCTAAATTAAAAAATTAACTCCAACTCATTGCATTTTCTTTAAGAATTTACGGATATTGATAACTATTTAAATCGAGTTGAAATTAGTTCTGAGTTGAAATTAGTTCTGTCAATCTTAAAAATCAATAGATGGAATCCTAGTTTTTACTTCAGCCCATTTATATATATATATATATATATATATATATATATATATATATATATATATATAACGTGCTTCATTTATATCATATTTGATATTCACTGGAGAGTTGGAGGCAAGAGGAAAACAACATATAACCTACCTAGCGAACATGAGTAAATGGCTGGCAGAACAGGGTTTAAGAGAGATAACAAAAAAGACAAAACATTATTAAGAGTTACAAAGGACAAGAAATTGTGAAGAGCCATGATCACCATCATCCTGAAGGAACACTTCACATAGAAAAAGAAATAAAGTTTACCTTTTGCTGTATCTCCTAAACCTTGTTCTGCAATTCATTTTCACACAAACTCGTTAGGCAGGGGTTATATGCTGTTATTCCTTTCTGTCTCACTTACCTTCAATATGTTCTGTGAGTGTCAAATTTTCCCAGCTTTTTTTCCTTATTATGTGCCCTAGAAATTTCAACTGTCTCTTACTGATGTTAAGTGTAAGTGCCCTTTTGTTTCTATTTTCTCTAAAGCTACGCCGTTGCTCACATCTTCAGTCCACAGGATTCTCAGCATCCTTCTGTAGTACCATATTTCTGTCGTCTTAAGTGTTTTCTTCATCTGTGAAGAGATTGTCCTGCATTCGTTGTTATATGGGAGTGCCGATATTACATAATTTAGCACTCTTTTCTTTATTGCTAATTATTTTCTTTATTTCTTGTTTCTTAATACTTTGCTTAACTTTTGCAAGCCATATTTGTCTATTCTAATGCGTCTTCGTATTTCGGTATTGCATTTGAATACTTATACACTTCCTGTTAAAACACTTCCTGTTAAAACACTTCATGTTACAACACTTCCTGTTAAAACACTTCCTGTTAAAACAGACATTTAAATTTTTGAACTTGCTTGATTTTGGTATTTCCAATTTGTATTTCGCATCTTGAGCTGTTCCCTATGTTAAGAGCCCTACATTCTGTCTTTTTACAATTGATATTTAGTCCTTTCTTCTCGCCTTCCTTTACTATCTTCTGTAGTATTTCCAGTACCTGTTATCAACACCGTGTCATCTGCATATCTTGTTAGATCCTGGTAGATTTTCTAATTATCTCAGGATTACCTCATTGATTAAGTTCGATTAGAAGACACAACTTTGTCTAACGCACCTTTCAATTTTTTGTATTTAATGAATTCATTTTCTATCCGTATACAAGCTGTTTGCTCCAGGTAAAGATTCTGGATTATTTTAATATATTTCCCAAATAAATCAATCTTACCTAATAGTTCATGCAGCTATTTGTGTTGTAATTTATCAAACGCTCTTGCATAAGTCTAATTTAAAAATCATTAAACAAATTTATGTTCAAAGTATGTCAAAATAATTATGTACTTATCATTAAATAAAACTACCACGAAAAATTATTATCACGATGTACATTGTATATTTCTGTTGTTCTTATAGTTTTTATCAAGCATATTGGTGTTTCTTGCTGCACCTGAAAAACCTAATTGTTTTGTATTTTTGTTATGCCATTAATTTATCAATATTACGTAGTTTGGTTTTCCTCTTGCTGTGATGAATTTAAACACTTATACGTTTGACATATTTTGTATTTACGGTAAAGCTATTATAAATCACGGGGATTGATTGCTAATATGCATTAAATTTGTGTATATATACACATTATTTATCTACGAAAAAGAGACAACAAACATTGCTAAGAACTTGTACCAAGTAAAGACCATGAAACAGAAATTAGAAAAAAATATACGCAAACTAAAGAGGAATGGCTCAATGAAAAGTTAGCGGAAATAGAGAGATTGAACATCATAGAAAGACAAGTATGTACAAAATAATAAAATAATTAGCAGAACAAAGAATGTACTTATCAGCAGGTCGTATAAGATCAAGGGAATGATCAAAACAGGAAAACACAAAATAATTCAAAGATGATGTGAATACTTTGGAGAACTATTTCATAATAAGAGAGAGACATCAATCTATAAAAATACGGAAGGACTGGGAAAATTAAAGTCTGAAGTAAGATCGATACTGGATAAGTTGAACAAGAAAAAAGTACCAGGACCAAATGAGATCTTAATAGAAATTCTATCAGCTTTAGAGGATTTCCACATCAACAAAATCATGAAAAATAATAAATAAAATATACAACAGTAGCAACATACTGGAAAACCTTAGTAGATCCATCTTTTTGTCACCGCCTAAGAAGCCAGGCGTGAACGAATGCAATCGGACAATAAATTTAATGTCACTAAACCAAACTAATAAAACGAATTCTGATGAATAAAAGTACAAAAAAGAATAAATCGGAAACAAAGAGACTTGAAAAACAAATGCCATATTTATGAACTGAACGATATCAGGGAGAGAAATACTAATGTATGTACCTTTATGTTTTATAGCTTACGTTAAAACATTTGATGAAGTACGGTACAAACATCTATTTGAACTGCTCAGAAAACTAGATCTGTTTGTTTCATGTGAGAATAATCCAGAACGTATACTGGAAGCAAACCACCTGACTACGGACAGAAAATCAATTATGTAGATAGACAAAACAGAAAGTGGCATAAGGTAAAGGTGAGTTTTCTCAACGGATTTATTTAACGTTTTATAGCAAGAGATTTGGAAACCCTTACATGATTAACTATCGGCGGCGCAATTTTATGATATATACTTGATACTATGTCGATGAAAGGCACAAAAAACTACAGGATCTTCCCGAAAAGGTAATAAAGGAAAGGGAGAAGAAAGGACTAATTATGAATTGTAAGAAGACTGAATGTATGGATGTCAGCAAGAGAAAAAAATCCAAAATGTGAACTATGAATTGCAGATGTTAAAATCAAACAAATACAGATGTTTATATATCTGGGAAGTATTTTAACAAGAAGGAAAATGTGACACCGAAATCCGAATAGTAAAGGATGCATTCTAAAAGCTAAGCAAAATATCTTCAAAGAATCCTTCTTAACAGGAAAGATTCATTGGAGATAAAGAAAAGAGTGCTGGACTGCTATGTAATAAGAATTCCTCCTAACAATTTTGATTCTCCTGATTACTGGCGGCTCTGTAATAGCCTATTAAGTAAGAGTAATATTTCTATTTCTCTTCTCTTCAATCAATTTGAGTTGTTAATATCTTATGCCATTAAAGCTGATTGTTTTGTCAGTAAATTCGCTTCATACTTGACTCTTCTAGAGTATCCATGCCTGGCTTTCCACTGAGTCTCTGTTGAGTGATATGCATATAAAACTGTTGAAGCTTGGATAAGCATGGAATAATAATAATACAACACAAAATGTACGTAAACAAAATGTATTGAAACAAGGAAAAGGTACACAATATTTACAGTTAGTTTTGGTATATTCTTGGGAAGACTGTTCCTGCAGAATGGGTTGACTACATCGCAGTCGGGTAGAGTCTCTCGATTCGATCTCTTCTTCTTCCCCTTTTTCGGTCTTCCGGTACCAACCCATATTTATATGGTCGGTACTCCACTTATGTAAATTAGGTGTATCGTACCACAACAAAAACCTTCTGTGCTTTCTGCTGTTATGTCTAATCTGAATCCCCACAAGCCAAGTGGACCTGATGGTATCCATGTAATAGTCCTTAAGAAGTGTGCTCCCGAAGTGGAGCCTGTTCTTTCCAAACTATATAATAAATGTGTCTTGCTTACCTGCTTGTTGGGAATCCTGTTGTTCCAGTTTTTTTTTAAGAACTCACGCAGACTGTCCGATCTTTCCAACTATCGGCCTTCTACCTCATTTTGGTAAAGAATTAGAGGCTCCTAATCAATGCCGAATTAGGTAAACATCTCACAAGGCAGGGCCTTCTTTCAGACAAGCAATAAGGCTTTCGCTTTTTAAGGTCAACTGCTGTTGTATTCACGATCATCGCGGGGAAAAAAAAGTCTGTCAAGCTTTAGATAAGAATGGTGAAGCTCGAGCTGTTGCTTTGGATATCTCAAAAGTATTCGACAGGGTTTGGCATATACGTCTTCTTCACAAGTTGAAAAGTTACGGTGTCTCCGGACAAATTTTTGACAGTATCCAGTTTTTCTTATCACATCGTGAAATGAAAGTTTTCTTGAGCGGCCACTTTTCTTTTGTACTAACGCAGGCTTATCCTTTGTCCTACTGTGTTTTTAAATTTCATTAACGACATTCTCGATGCCATCAGCTCTCAACTTGGTATCTATGCCGATGGCATAATCATTCATCCTGTATCGATCGTAAGCCTGATCAGTTTGATATGGTCAAATTAGCAGCTTATATCATAAATGGCTTGTTAATTTTAACGCCTTGAAAACAGAACTGCTCTCTATTAATCATCTGAGAGACCCCTTTCCGCTTTCCATCAGTATGGATGATGCTAAGCTCCAGGAGTGTGACTTCTAGGGCTAACATTCTCGGCTGACATGAAGTGGAAAGACTATATTGAATCCAGTGCTAGACCAGCTGCTAAGAATGTTGGTTTACTGTGTCGTGTTAGACAATTGTTCTCTCCAGAATCTACCATACATATCTATAAGTCTACTATTCGTCTATGTTTAGAATATTGTTGCAACTTATGGTCCGGTGCTCCTGGTATATATTTAGAGATAATTGATAAAACTCGAAGAAGAATCAGAAATATTATTGGCCCCAAACTGGCATCACGGCTTCATCCACTTTCCAATGTCTCATCAATTTACTGTCGTGTTGTCTAGATGTAACTGCAAGTTCTATGCAAACAGTTTCTTTTCTCGCTTATGGAACCCTCGACCAGTTCTTTTCTTTCCAATTCACATTAATCTTAAAAATTTAAATGCAAAGTCGATCGCTAAATACTGTCATTCTGATTACTCTTCTATTGTTTTTTCCCCTTAGTAATATTTCTATTTGTCGTTCTTCCACACCCAATTGGAAGCCTCTTGTGTCTTAGTGGTTTTACGGCCTTGCTTGGGATGAACAGTGAATGCTGGATGATCTACTCACAGATGAAGAGAAACAGAAATGCGGTTCAATAGAAGGATGCTGAGAATACCATGGACGGAGCATGTGAGCAACGAGCAAGTTTTTAAGAAAAATGGAAACAAAAAGGACATTTATACGCAGAATCAGAGATTGAGCTAAAATTTCATGGACGCATAATGAGGAAGAATTGTTTGGAGAATTTGAAACTCACTGGGCATATCGAAGGCAAATGCGACAGAGGACAGCGGGTCATCTAACTGACGAGCGTGTGTGAATGGGATTGGTAGAAAGACACATGTTACAAAGAACTACAAAAACTAGGAAGTTATGGAGAGTCATGATCGCCTGGAGCCTGAAAGGACACGGCACAGAGAAAAAGAAGTTCTTTCTGTATTCTTTCTTTTTGTGGAAAAATATATGTAAATATTCAAGATATTAATTTGATATGATCCGGTCAATCAGCGTGCACAAAATAGGAAGTTTCACGTAAATTTTAACATACTAATTTTATTCGTCTCTGTCTCTCTCTCACTCACTCATTCACACACACACACACTCATGTTGTAGTACTTGTGCGTTTTTTGTTAGTACCTGTAGTGTGTTTTCGAGCCGATTTGAGACTAATTCTTTCCAATATTGATTTACAAGGCAAACAGCCTTCAACTTATTACAACAAATTCTTCATTATCTATCTATCTATCTACTTACGACCACATCACGTTGAAACACCTGTTCTCATACGATCATCGAAGTTAAGTAAATGTCTAGTCTGGTCCAAATTCTTACAAACTAAAAATATTTTCTGGCTTTAGATAAGCTGTAAAAGGTTGATAAGCCATAAAATGAATCTATCTATCTATCTATGTATCTATCTATCTATCTATCTATCTATCTATCTATCTATCTATCTATCTATCTATCTATCTATCTCAGTCTCTACTTTATCTATTTATCTATCTATCTATCTATCTATCTATCTATCTATCTCAGTCTCTACTTTATCTATCTATCTATCTATCTATCTATCTATCTATCTATCTATCTATCTATCTATTTAATTGAATTAATAGTTAGTAACAGGGAATATTATTTATTCAAAATGACTGAGATATACGTAACAATGATCTATTTAATTTCTTTTTCATAAACAGATGGATTTTGTATGCAGCCGTGCAATCTACACTAGTCATGTGAAGACCACCTTTTTTTTTGGTGAATTTTTTATGTATTTGATTGGAGGATGGATTTCAGATAGGTAAAAAAGATATTTTTTTATTCAAAATTTTTTGCATTTAATTTTTGTTTTATTTTGAAAGAAAATAAGAAATATTTGTCTGATTTTTGTAAAATGTAAATTAATTAGAAAATTGATATTGGATTATAATAGTCGGATAAAAAAATATGGCTGCAATATCCAGATGTGGGGGAAATATTTTCTTGATTGATTGAATTGTTTTTATGGCTTACCAAGCCTTTGTGGTTTATTTAAAGCTATATCATAATTAGGATTATAACAATAATTCATTTTTGAGATTGAATATTGCATTACTAATTTTTTAAACAACAAAAATTATTTTTATAGATATAAGTCACACTGTTTAACCCCTAGCTAAGGGTCAGATGGATTCATACCTTTCTCAAGTGTATCTGCACGTATGTAACGAACTCAACTGAGATTCGATTCTTTGATTTATCATTCCGATCAAGTATCCATTACACAATCCACCTATCCACGTAATTCATTGAATATTTGATACACTATTATGCAAAGTCAAAGTGTGGATCAGTCAGATGGGACATAAATCAACGCAGAAGCAACAATATGCATAGCTAGATTGATATTCATTAAGCTTAGCTTACTTTGGTACAAGGCTACACGTTTACCATAGTTAGTATTGAAATTACTAGCAGTAAAAGTTACCACAGAACAAATTAGAAGCAACACTATGTTTTCTATAAATTAATTTTACGTACTTCCTAGAAGGGGGTTTTGGGAAATTTTCTGACTCCACCTCGAGCTTATTAATTTCACAATTTCTCCCAGAGCTTAAACACGAAGCAGTAATTATAGTTTGTTTCAAATTTTTGCACCCACGCATTTATTGCATATTAAGAAAAATCTACACACCCTTGTATTAGGTACTTAAATGTTAGCTAAGTTTGGTATGCATATATCAATATATTTTTAAGCATTTCACCCCAAGCAAGGCGGGATGCCACTAGCACTCAAGGGGTTACAGAGTGGGAGCGAGAGTAAAGAGGCGTGATGAGGGAAAGGATGAAGAGAAGGACAGGGAATAGATCAAGGCATCTGGGGACGTCGATTCACATTACATTTGAATAGTTGGAGATTATAGCTATCAGGGAAATAATTAATAAGAAGGGAATTCCATAGATGGGAGGTGCGAGACATGAAGCTATTGGAGGAGAAGAGACGGCCACATTTAAACATTTCGACATTGAAGGGGCGGGACCGTGATGCTAGCCTAGTAGCACGCTTAAATTCACTCAGTCTGGGAACTAACGAATGTTGTCTTGCAATTTTGAATATCTAGATAATTGGTTCGGAAAAGTGATGAAATTTGTCAATCAAACAGAAATATTCTTACTTCACATACCTTGGCATGAACTCGTGGGGTTATTTAGTCGGCAGTAAATAGGCTTTAAGTATAAATGTCGCATTAACACAGAATGTATAACACGTTTTACTTGAAAGTTTAGAATTTCTGTTAAAGTTTTTAAGAGTTGATTCAATGAGCGAAGCTCAGATAGAACTTTTCGAACGGATGCACCAACGTTGGTCAAGAATCTTTTGAAAAGAAATACAGATCTGAAAACATTTCAACAAGCAGATTATACCTGGAATGTATCGAGGTATTTTGCATACATTGTTTTGGGCAGTTTTTTCTTTTTCAAAATCAGCGTATCATCCAGACTTGTGTGCCAGACTAAGTCGGATTCTCATTTAACTTCACACACATGAACAAACACATAAGCATAATCAAAAGTATACCCTCAAACATAAATATGTCATCTTACTTTATATACATGAAAACATATTTTATTAGGTGCTTTACTCTGTTAGAACGTTGCTAACTTTACGATGCTCATTACAGTTATCATATATTTTATGATAATTTTATACTTTTATTATTTTCATATTTATTGAATCGTTTCTATTATTGTCATTAAAGTAATACTAAGTGCAAATTATATGTGTGATAATGACATGTTCACTATGACTCTCATCTTAACGTATATATGGTTGTTCCTAGTTATGGTAGAGGGCTTGCGTGTCCCAGTGATCCTAAGAGCGAAGCCGTGTGAAATTTCAATTCCCCTAGGACCACCAATGGCGGTCAGGTTGAGGAAGATGGACTAGACTGAATGCGACCAACCCCCATAATATCCCAACGGTGGAATAGGCAAAGTACACAATCTCAATGGCGGAAGAGGTCAGCGCCAATCGGGCTGGTGTAACCAAGGCGGAAAGATCAAGCATTCGACTGCCCCATGCAACCAGGTTTAACAAATCTCGCTTTTCTTAATCCCCTTGCTTTTTACCCTGCGATGCTCATGACATTTATCATATATTTTATGATAATTTTGTACTTTTATTCTTTCCTTATTTATTGATTCGTTTCTACTATTAAAGTAATAAAGTAATAAATAAGTAAAATAATAATAAAGTAATAATAAATCATATTGATAAATTTCATAACGAACTGTTCACTCTGACATCCATTGTAAAATATATATGTTCGTTCCTCCGTATGGTAAAGGGTTTGCATGTTCCAGTGATCTCAAGAGCGAAGTCGACAGGAGTTCCAACTCTTGTAGGGCCATCCATGACGGTAAAGTCGAGGAGGAGGGATCAGACTGAACGCAACCAAACCCCGAAGACCCCAACGGCGGAAGAGGCAAAGATCTATACGATACCAACACTTAAACTGGCGGAAGAGGTCAACGCTAATCTAGCTGATGTAACCAAAGCGTTACTTGACAGATCAAGCATCTGACAGCACGATGCAACCAGGGTGTACCAGATCTCGCCTGTCTCAATCCCCTTTGAGCCGCGAGGGAGGCACTTCTGGCCAGGCATGTGGGCTTCTCTGTCACACAGAGTTGTCCACCAAAATCACACGAATGGTCTCGTCAAACTCTCTTTGACATCGGTTTCAACCCCACTTCAGCCAGCCCAAGCGTTTTTAGGATGACCTGACTCTCCCAGCCGCGTACCCCACCCACACCCTTCTGTGTGTCCTGCTCACAAATCTTCAGGTGAAGATTGGGCCTTTACAGCCATCTCCGCTGGAGAAAGGAATTAAGGAGAGAGGGTGACGGTCCCGATACTCAGATGCCAGCCGGTGCCGACGACGATATATCAATACTGATTTTATGTAAACCAAAGTAGTCTTATATTCTTTTGCTAGCGCTGTGAAATCTGGCGTAGAAAAGATCTCTACTACCAGGTGTGTATCCACCTGTATGACAGTGAACACAAGACAAATTCGTCAATTCTCGGTCACATCAAAAAGATTCGATGTGACCCAAAATTGATTCTATCGGCGGATGCTGGGAATGCCATTGACAGAGCGCGTGAAAAATCTTCTTCCTTTATATGTGATTTTCCCTCAGGGCGTGGACGTTCACAGCTCTCCACAGTGTTCTTTTTTTTGTTGCTTTTAGCAATGTTTGCTTTATTATTGTATTTTTCACTCCCTGATCTGCCATCCATTTATATAAACTTGTTAGGTTACTTACTGTTTTCTTCTGTTCTTCATGTTCGTTTTCAATATATCCTGTGAATGTCAAATTCTCCAAACCCTCTTTCCTCATTATATATCCCAAACATTTCACGGAGGCGGACATGTGGAGGCCTAAATTATTACTAAATAACAATTACTGAGAACATTTTTAGCAAGGAACTTGTTAGTAAGCTCCAGTAATTAGTTAACAACTATATAGTATCTTACAATTATTGTCTTATTTCCATCAATAAAAATGTGCAAAGAAAAAACAAAATACCATAAAATAACTAATTGTACAAAAAAAATCGTGTATCAACAAAATCTTAAAATACTATACAAAAACTGTGAATTTCAAACAATAATTTTGATAATCTTTAAAACATTTTGTTACATGTTCAATTTGTTTCACAGAAAATGAAGAAAATGCTTATTTTGCTATGGTACAATAATAGATATTACCAGTACACATAGTTTTAAAAATTAAAACCAATTTACATTAACAAGAACACAAACCACTGCGAACCACTGTTCTGTGAAACAGACTCCCAAGAGGATGTTTTCCCGATTGTTATAATCTTAATCTATTCAAGTCTACGGTTAACCGTTATCTTCCCCTCCTATCAGCATAAACAGTGCCTCTTATTTTGTAACCCTTAACTCGAGTGGCTCCTTTCATTTGTTTTTTTTAACGCTAATTTATGGTCAGTCCTTATATTGGTCAGAAGGCGTCTTTTAAGGCTGGGAGATTCATGAGTTTCAGATTTACCCTCTTAGTCGTTCTGACAGTTTTATTAGTTGCTCGGAATGGGATGTGAACCTCACTGTAAAAATAAAATAAACCATTTCTGCTTTGTAACTTTTTCTTTCCACATTCATTATGAAATTAATAAAATTAATCTGACGTCATATATTTTCAGATTTGGACGGAAAATAACACTAGTTTCTTGTGCTCTTCTTCAAGGAATTAGTTCTTTGGCGAGTTCCCAAGTATCCAACATTTATTTATTTATCTTCCTTCGATTTTTATCGGCCGCCGGAGGAGCTGGATGTTTTGGAGCGCTCGCTGTATATGGTAAGAATTTTTAATCAGTTAATCATATACATTTATTTTATCAGAAAGTACATGACACTGAGCAATGGGTAGCAAGCTAATCTGACAAACCCTTCTCCATTGCGGTGAGTTCATGCTTTTGGAGGAAATCCCGCTGTTTTGGCTTTGTGCAAATTTAAGCTCAGCTTAAAAAATACATATTTCAACCTTCAGAAATAGATGCCTGCCGTTGAAAGATGGGAAGAAGTTCATTTTC